ACCAAGTTTCTACAAAATAAAGTGACTATTTTCCTGCATATCTGAGCAGTTTCAAGAGAATATTTTCATTGCTAATTAATAAGTAATTTGCAATTTACTATAATATTTCTCTTTATCCCAGGAATCTACAATTGTGAGTTTTTAAATATCCAAAGACATTTCTACATAACTACATCCTAGTCAAGCAGAGTTCTATTTATGTTATTGATTTGTTGACATTTGTTTAGACTTTAGCTGTCAACCAGTACATAGACAACTTATTTTAAGTATCCCACGTGACTACATACCCCCAACTGTGAGTATGGAATTTCTGTGTGGATCTGTATAGTTACAGAATTTTATTTTATTTTAGTTAGAGAACTTTAAAAATAAACATAAGTCAAGCCTATTAATCATGTTTTCAGGTTGTCTATATCTTTACTCATTTTATTCACTTTGTTTTCTTAAGCCACTGGTTTTTTATTGAAGTCATTTAAAATCTTCTACTATGATTATGAATTTGTCAAATTTAACTTTATTTCTCCAGTTCTGGTTTATGTATTTTGGCTATGATGTTGGGCACATTAAAATTCCTGATTCGTAAAGCATTGTGATTGATATATTATCCCTCTTTATTCATATTTATCAATTTTTGCCACAAATTCTATTTTGTCTAATATTAATATTGCTGTTCCAGCTTTATTCTGGTATTTGCTTAACGTATCTTTTTCCTGCCCTTTATTTTCAGCCTCTGGTATGATTTTGTTTAGGACTCTGTCACTGAAAAATGCCCACTCTGGTCATGTATGTCTATAATTGGTAGGTTTAGCCTATTTAGATTTGTGAGTACTGATACACTTAACCTTTTTACGAAAAACAATATCAATCAATAGTTAAAATATATATTGTCACAGTTCATCCATTTCTAGGCTTACCCCTGTTTCTTTTACCCAGAACCCTGTATTTACTTTTCTTCTTGTTTAAATATACCTTATAGGGATTGAAACAATACTTACAAAGATTATTTAGTAACAGAAGAACTTTATCTACATCCCATATTTTATTTTTTTAAATTTCTTTTCAGTGTACCAGAATTCATTGTTTATGTATACCACACCCAGTGTTCCATGCAATACGTGCACTCAATAATACCCATCACCAGGCTCACCCAACCTCCTACCCCCTGCCCCTTTAAAACCCTTAGATTGTTTTTCAAAGTCCACAGTCTCTCATGGTTCATCTCCCCCTCCAATTTCCCCCAACTCCCTTCTCCTCTCCATCTCCCCATATCCTCCATGTTATTTCTTATGCTCCACAAATAAGTGAAACCATATGATAATTGACTCTCTCTGTTTGACTTATTTCACTCAGCACAATCTCTTCCAGTTCCGTCCATGTTGATAAAAAAGTTGGGTATTCATCCTTTCTGATGGAGGCATAATACTCCGTAGTGTATATGGACCACATCTTCCTTATCCATTCGTCTACTGAAGGGCATCTTGATTCTTTCCACCATTTGGTGACCTTGGCCATTGCTGCTATGAACACTGGAGTACAGATGACCCTTCTTTTCACTACATCTGTATCTTTGGGGTAAATACCCAGTAGTGCAATTGCAGGGTCATAGGGAAGCTCTATTTTTAATTTCTTGAGGAACCTCCACACTGTTTTCCAAAATGGCTGTACCAACTTGCATTCCCACCAATAGTGTAAGAGGGTTCCCCTTTCTCCACATCCTCTCCAACACATGTTATTTACTGTCTTGTTAATTTTGGCCATTCTAACTGGTGTAAGGTGGTATCTCAATGTGGTTTTGATTCGAATCTCCCTGATGGTTAGTGATGATGAACATTTTTTCATGTGTCTGTTAGCCATTTGTATGTCTTCATTGGAGAAGTGTCTATTCATGTCTTCTGCCCATTTTTTGACATGATTATCTGTTTTGTGTGTGTTGAGTTTGAGGAGTTCTTTATAGATCCTGGATATCAGCCCTTTTTCTGTATTATCATTTGTGAATATCTTCTCCCATTCCATGGGTTGCCTCTTTGTTTTGATCACTGTTTCCTTTGCTGTGCAGAAGCTTTTGATCTTGATGAAGTCCCAAAAATTCATTTTCGCTTTTGTTTCCTTTGCCGTTGGAGACATATCTTGAAAGAAGTTGCTGTGGCCAATATCGAAGAGGTTACTGCCTATGTTCTCCTCTAGGATTCTGATGGATTCCTGCCTCATGTTGAGGTCTTTTATCCATTTCGAGTTTATCTTTGTGTATGGTGTACAATATAATTTTTTTTTAAAGATTTTATTTATTTATTTGACAGAGAGAGATCACAAGCAGGCAGAGAGGCAGGCAGAGAGAGAGGAGGAAGCAGGCTCCCCACTGAGCAGAGAGCCTGATGCGGGACTCGATCCCAGGACTCTGAGACCATGACCTGAGCCAAAGGCAGTGGCTTAACCCACTGAGCCACCCAGGTGCCCCCAATATAATTTTTAAATTACATAGGTAACATGATTAAAATCACTGAAAAATCATGTTCTACGGGAATAAACTGAAAGGAAAAAAATTTTTTTGATGGTTAAGATTAGGTCAGACTTAAACCCAACACTTTAGTTGAGACCATGCTAAAATGAACAAATAAAAAAAAAAAAAACATCGAAAACAAAAAACAAAAACAAAAACCTCTGTCCCCCCAACATCATTTTTTTTTTTTAAAGATTTTACTTATTTATTTGTCAGAGAGAGAGAAAGAGCATGCGAGCAGACACAGGGGGAGCAGCAGGCAGAGGGAGAAGCAAACTTCCCACCAAGCTGGGAGCCTGTGTGGGACTCGATCCCAGGACCCTGGGATCATTACCTAAGCCGAAGGCAGATGCTTAACGACTGAGCCACCCAAGCATCCCAAGCCCCAACACCATTCTTAAAACTAACAAACCATTTGGGTCATAAGCAGGTCCCACTTACAAAACAGCTCCCTAAAAAGCAACAGAAGGCAGCAGAATGGGCAATGAACTGGGCGGATAACCTTGGACAACCTTTGGGGACTTCAGATTCCTCATGGTTAAAGTGGAAACAACTGATTTCATGAGGGTTTTATTAAGAGGAATAAATGAGAAACAATGAACATGGAATTCCTCATCAAACTGTATTATTAGTTATGTGTGTGTGTGTGTGTGTGTGTGTGTTTATGTTTAATTTTTTTAACGATAAGGCAGAATATACAGTAACATTATCAGTCTAGATTAGCCATGTCCACTAATGACTAAGTTGGACTGGATCCCAAATAAACATGAAACAAGATAAAGCCAGTTTCCTACCCCTCTTCCTCTTTTCCACCTTCTAAGGTAGCCTGGATTTTTCCTCCATTAAAATGCTAGTGTAAGTGTCAAAGCTCTCACTGCCACTTTCATGGCATTCAGGCTTACAAATCAGTGAGTACTTTCTTTTCTCATTTTTTAATGAGGGAAGCTAGACTGAGCACCGGCTGGCTACCGTGACCCGGACACTGTCTCACTAGCATACATCCCCTCCAGCACATTAATTGTAGGCGACATTCTATCACTTGGTCACATTTCCTAGGCTGCGACCTGACTTATCCTTATTTCTTTTTCATTTCCTAAAAAACCCATACCCTGATTAATAGTATTAATCCTAACTTAGAATACCGTCAGCTATTCCAAGTAGTAAGAACGCTCATTTAAGCAGCTCTGCAATCCAGCATGGATGGCCTTTCCATGTGAAGCTCACCTAGTGCTGGGGTATCACAGACCCACAGGAAAACAGCACATCCTGAGGCAAACAGTCATCTCATACAACGTGACTCACTTACTACAACAAAACAATGGTTCCTTCTTAGCCTAGGGATCACATACTATTCCTTTCCATGTCCCACAACCCATTTAGCATCTGTTCATGGGAGGGAACTGTTCCTCCTGCTTTGATGAACATGGGGGAAGAAGTGCAGAAAGGGTAAAGTGAAATATTTCCTGGGCCTCCTTTTATTCCATTTGTTTCTTACATAAAAGCAGAGATTTAAAAATGTATGAATGGGGACGCCTGGGTGGCTCAGTTGGTTAAGCGGCTGCCTTCGGCTCAGGTCATGATCCCAGCGTCCTGGGATCGAGTCCCACATCAGGCTCCTTGCTCGGCGGGGAACCTGCTTCTCCCTCTGCCTCTGCCTGCCTCTCAGCCTACTTGTGATCTCTCTCTCTCTCTTTCTCTCTCTCTCTGACAAATGAATAAAATCTTTAAAAAAAAAAAAAAAATGTATGAATGAAAGGCAAGTGGTATTGCAGGTTTTTAGGAAACAGACTCAAGCTTTTAGGGATTTTCATAATTTGCCAAAAGAAATTAGGAAATCAGTATATTATGGTATCAGCTAACAAACACGTAAGGTGTTGAGTGCTTTGGAGAATAACCAGAATATCAGATTTCCTGATCAAAAACCTCTAAGCATCCAAACATATATTTCAGCAATAGCAACAACTTAGGCATCTCACAAAGAAAGAAATGTAAAACTCCTACAAATGTAAAGGAAGGGAGGATAAGTGAAGAGCTTGGGAACAGAACACAGTTTCCAACCTGAGCCAATAAATTGTCAGTCCCCTCTACGGTACAAGAAATTCATTAATGTCTAATAGTATGAATACCTAATTAATTTTTACTGACTAAGAATTGGAGTAACTTAACCATAGGTTTCAGCACTGTATCTTAACCATCCTGGACTGAGGATAAATTTGAGCCACTGACTATTCATTCATATGAAGAAACCTAGAGAAAGGTAGGTCAGTATTGAAAGACTAAGCTCAAACGAGGGAAAACCAAAGCCCACTCATTCCTGCAGGTACTAACACAACAAATTGATCAAAAAATATTGAGGCTTGGCCTGGACAAAGGAAACCATCAAGGATGCATAATTCACAAAGGCAAAATGAGGTCAAGGACAACCTGTTTCACTGAGATAAACTTTAGTGACCTCAACAAGAATGTCCATGCTATCAATGGTAAGAACTGTCTCAAGGCTCACCTCATGCTTAGAGAAGAGTCGGACGCCCTCCAGCTGGTGGAACACTGGGTAGTGCTGGGAGTCGATCTGGTCGCGCCGGTAGACATCGCCCACCACCAGGAAGGCATCCAGTCCGGCGTGCAGCAGGTCCCACTGGTGTGCAGACGTGTGTGCTCGCAGCATGTGAGTCCTGTTCAGGTAATAGTTGTCTCCCTTCTTCCTGCTGGGGTGGTGAGCTGGGATGAGCAGGCTGTCAAAGTTCTGCCAGGTGGTGACCACTGGAGAAAGGTCATCATAGACCGAGAACAGCGGAGTCCCAAAGCGGCCCACATACTGCTTGTAGAAGTGCTCCTTCACCCTCTCCTTGATCAGCCAGAGCGGGTGATGCTGCTGGTGGTGCAGATTCCTGCCGACCTTGGAGAGGACCTTCCGGGAGAGGTTGCTATAGTCGTCCTGAGGATAAGATTTGCCCAGCAGCTCCACCATGCCACCTGGAGCTCCTCGGGCAGCAGACTCCAAAGCAGCAGGTCTCGAGCCCAAGGCCTGACAATGATGGCCTTTGGAGACACTACTGGACTTCCTCACCAGGTAAGCATGCACCTGGGCAACTCTCCTGAGAGCTGAGCAAACCATTGTAGAAACTTCTTTCACAGATTCTAGAAAGAGCACACATGCAAAGCACAAGTCAAGCTTCACTCTATAGAAATTAAACTCGTCCTTTGTGTCTCCTACCAACCTCCCATTATCCTACTGACATCTGTTTCCCCCACTGCCTCCTCCAGACAGACCGAAGATCCCATTAAGGAAATCTGCTGACAGAGGCTTAATAGGTACTGCTCCAAACCAAAAGAACCTTGAACCTCACTTTTAGATCCCTATTCTCTAGCTGTCCTTCCATGGGTTTGAAGAAAACTTCCTTTATCACGTCATGTCATGTCCTGAATCCCTCAGGTTGAATAAAATTTTAAATGTGATAATTTACTTTTATTTGGACTATATTCTTGAATCAAAAAGTTTAGGGGGATCGTCTAAAGGACAGGGTTTGGTTGACCCTAGCAATGTCTCATTAGTTAATGGAAGCACATGAGTATATACAATAGAAGAGGGGATATTTGAAACATCCTCCTTAACTACAAAGTTCTGTTTACCTTTGAGAGACATGACTTCTACATTATTCCACTGCATTAGAGAATGTTATTACATAATGTTATAAAACTGTTACTACATTTACTTTTTCTGATATTTCAAATAAAATATACCACTCTGGGTGCTGGTGATTTTTATTTAATATTTATAAAAATAAAAATGAAAAAATAAAAATGAAAAACCCAAGTATCTGGGTGGCTCAATAGGTAAAGCATCTGCCTTCTGCTCAGGTCATGATCCTGGACTCCCTACTCAGTGGGGAGCCTGCTTCTCCCTCTCCCTCTGCCCCTCCCGCAATTGTGCTCACTCACTCTCTCTAATAAATAAAAATCTTAAAATTAAAAAATTAAAAATAAATAAATTTCAAAAATGAACAACTTAAGGAAATATTACACAACGTGATAGACTATACCAATGGACAGCTGAAGTTATTTTTATAAAATGCGAATCTTTTCTATCCTCACATCTGGTTGTGTCATTTCAACTAAATGTCAATGCAACATCCCACCATTCTATTTTTGCTTTGTAAAAGAACAAGTTTCTACTATGCACCTATAGTAAACCAGGAACGGGGCCACACTTGCTTGGGAAGGGATCCAGAGCAGCCAGAAGACAGAGCATAGACCGGATCCTTTTTACAGACCTGCCAAGAATTTGGGGCACATGGGTGGCTCAGTCAGTTAAGCACCTGCCTTTGGCTCAGGTCATAATCCTGGGACCCCAGGAGCTGGGGATCAGCCCAACGCAGGGCTCCCTGCTTAGCAGGGGGTCTGCTTCTCCCTCTCCCTCTGTGCACACCCCTCATCACTTGTGCTCTCTCTCAAATAAATAAAATCTTTTTTTAAAAATGCCTACAATTTAATATAAGAAGAACACCACATTAATTAATTAAAGAAAAGCATCAGTGTCACAGTGGAAAGTCCCTTCAGCAATCATCTGATACGGGCTGGTCACGTCACGGATCAGGTGACAAAGAGCCAGGTGGAGCTGAATGAACTCTAGAGTACCAGAAGAGTTAAAACAAAACAACAGTGGAAGATTCTGAACAACAATGTCATGTTCATTCCCTAGGGTCACAGAAACAAGTTTTAAGCTGACTTGGGGGACTCAGTAAGGAAAATCTTTAGCTGTTTTATCCCTATGTTCGCCAAAAAAAAAAAAAAAAATTTACTATGAACTTAAATCACATAAATCATCTTCAAAATTTTGGAATTTTTTTATCTATTGGGCTACTTTAAAGCATACAACCATGTGTTTATTTTACTTCGAGGGCCCTATAATCATACTAAGAAACCACCTACTTTCTTGACAGTAAGCTGCATTAGGAGGGAATCCCATTGTTCCGAGTGACATCAAAAGCATACTGAGTATGTACCCAGGCAGCACAGTGCCCCCATTCCAAAGTGTAACTGAAAATATCTAGCTACAAGTTACATTATCGTGCATGTGTGTGACTGCTTATTAGAAGCTTCAGCGTAGCACCTTTGCAGGAGACTGCCATCATGAGAGAAGATACCCAGGAACTCCCTGTATTATTCATCTATGGCACTATTTTGTCAGTTGTTTCAAAAGTGTTTTTGGCTGAACTTCAACGAAAATCTGTCTTCCCATCTACAGTGTTCAGTGGCTTGTCAATGCAATAGATAGAAATTTTAAATATGCTCGTGCCACCTTCCACATCTTCACGCGAAGTCACACTATGATGTTTTTAGCTACCCAGCCCAGCACCCTTGGCAAGACACAAGAAAGCATCTCTTCCTCCAAAGGCATATGCTATATGCAAAGTCCAGAATTCTGGGGATGGTGCCATTGGTGTAGTTGCTCACAGGTGGCTGACTACCTTTTCCTTCTTGGTTCCCAGCCCTTCACACATCTAAACCCACTTCTAGGTCCTGTTCCCACATACATGCCCCATCCTCGTGCCCCTGCTTTGTTCTCCTCACCCCACCCTCAGCTTACTGAGGAAAGTTTAATTTTCTTGTCTTCCTTTACAGACTTTTTATCTGCTCAGCCCGGCATATATTCCCCACCATGCTTCTCAAAACAATTATTTGGGATTTTTTTCTATTGTCATTTATTACAAAGCAAGAATAAGATTATGATAGCTTTCCCACTTCCATCTGGGAAGGAAATTCCATTCTTACTGTCTCTTAAATTTCTCTATAAGAAACAGTTCCAGGCACCTGGGTGGCTCAGTTGGTCAAGTGTCTGCCTTCAGCTCAGATCTTGATCCTAGGGGTCCTGGGACTGAGGCCTGCTCAGCGGGGAGCCTGCTTCTCCCTCTGCCTCCCTCCCCCCCACTCAAGCTCTCTCTCTCTCTCAAATAAATAAAATATTTACTTAAAAAAAAAAAAGAAACAAACAGTTCATATGGAAAACACAAGAGACCAGGGACCGTGACACTACCGATGGCAGCTATCCCTCTATTGATACGGTGGGCTTCCATCTCACACTTTCAACAACAATACTGTGAGGTAAGCGTTATTCCTACACATTACAAAGAAACTAAGACTCAAAGAGATCATGCAACTAGCACACTCTTACACCTCCCCATGAACAAAGTTCACAACTCTGACCAACTCAAGTACTTCTCAATCGATAGTTCCCAACTGTTAAATTCAAATTACACCTCCTTAATTACCTCTCTTCTCTCTTACCTAAGCAATTTAGATTATACATAAATGCATTTTAAATGCACAAATGAATACATGAATAAATAAATTAATAAATAAAACCCATTAGTTTAGGTGGTGGAAATGAAATACTTTGTCACCAAGAACGGTAAGCCAAACTTGCCCGTGTCCTGTTTTTGTATATAAAGTTTGATTGGAATGCAGCAATGCCCATTCATTTAAATACTGTCTGTGGTAGCTTCTCTACCACGAAGGCAGAGCTAAACAGTTGTCACAGAGACCGGATAGCTCACAAAGACCTAAAACACTTATTATCTTGTCGTACAGAACAAGCTCGCTGAGCCCTGCTTTAGCTTAATGCACTGAAAAGTTCTTCCACACTACTAAGAATATCTTCCTAGTCACAAATACATGCAGATTACAGAGCCACTAAAAGTAACAAAAGTATAAATGTGGATATTAAACATGCTAATATCGTTACAGAAGACTGTGAGACCAGCTGTGAGAGGAGTCAATACAATACCAAGGGCAAAAGACCACACTTAGCAGAGACACCCACGCAGGTGTGACCCTAAGTCAGCCACTCAGGCACTGTGTATTACTCTTGGACACATGGCTTGCCCTTTCTGACTCTCGAGTTTCTCCTGGATAAGGACGTAGAAAACAATATCTCATGGTAAAAGAATTAAACTAGATCCTGTTCATAATATACTTAACTCAATGCCCAATATGTAAAAGATGAGTTTAATCAAGAATTAAAAATGACACAGAGAATTCTAGAGACCAGGTAACAGAGAAAACAGTAAAGTTATTCACTGAGACAGGAAACACAGGATGGATTTTGTTTGTTTGTTCAAATGATTTTCATATATGTATTTCTGGTTGAAGAGGGAAACAGCTTTGGACAGGTTAAAGTGAAATACGACTGAAGATAGTCATATTATAATTTCTAGGAATCAGTCTGAGGTATGGGTTTGAAAATGAAGTGAGAGATTAATGCTAGAAATGTAGACCCTGAAAATTATGTGTATAAAGAGTTAACATTATAAAGGTATGTGAAAATCCAAGGGCAGGTAAGAGCAAAAATAAAAATGGGCAAAAGACCAAAATCTTAGAAGTTATCCCATATTAATATTTGTCTGTCTTGTTGTTAGACTATGTGGTTCATTTTTTTTGGTAAGATTTTATTTATTTATTTGACAGAGAGAAAGAGAATGCACAAGCAGGGAGAGCAGCAGAGGGAGAGGAAGAAGCAAGCTCTCCACCAAGCCAGGGGCCTGATGTGGGACCTGATCCCAGGATCCTGGGATCACAACCTGAGCCAAAGGCAGACACTTAACCAAGTGAGCCACCCAAGCACCCATAGACTATGTGGTTCTTGAAAGTAGAACATACACTCCCTTCTCTCTCTCTCTCTTATGTAAATCTTCATATACCCAGAGTTTAGCGTTTCATATTATACTGGATAAAAGAGGAGGGAAGAAGTGAAAGAGGAAAAACAGGAAAGGATAGGGAAAAAATTGGCTAACAGAATAAAACATAACAAAGAGGTTAGGTGCCAGGCAAAGTAAAGAACTATTTGACAAGATGACCATCAACAGAGCAATTTCAATGGATGAGTGAGGACAGAAATCAGATCACAATGGGTTATTAAATGAGTGAAGATGTAAAAATGAAGGAGGATACCAAAGACAGAATAAACAAAAATATTTAAAACTTCTAAAATTAAAGAAAGGGAAGCTGAGGGAACTTGTAATAGATGGTCCTGATCTCCCAAGGAAAGCTTTAGATGTATAAAGAAAAATATTGTGTATGATCTCAACATTCACCAAGTAAATGTGATTTTTTTTCAAAGAGGAATGCTATAGTACAGGATGAAAGTTATGAATATTAGATAGTAGGGTCAGGGGAGGACACTAGGCATAAAATTAGAGGAATTCGTTTAAGAGTTATTTGTAAAAATAAAAATTCAGAGAATTTTGAGAAATTTGAAAATGTTTCCCTTTCCAACCATAAATACAAATGAGAAATTTGAAAAGGAAAGAAGAAACTGATTTGGAGAAAGTTTAAGTTCAGAATGTGTAGGGAAACACTAGAGGAACAAGGATGAGCATTGACATGATTACCGGAAAGTCAGGAGTCAGCCAAAAAGAAGTATATTAACTGGTGACCTGTTATCCAGGAACAACCTAATAGCAGAGAGCAGTCACGAGAAGAAATTTCTAGATAGACTCAAAGGTTATCGATTTTAAAAAATAAACAAATAAGTAAAAATTAATATACATTCTGTATGAATCCAAGAAAGTCACCAACCAAGGGTCTGGCAGAGGTAAATATATTGATCTGAATATTACTTAATACCAGAAAATCTATCTCCCTGGTACACTCTCAATTTTAACCTACTTCACTCCAATCTCTTGGGCCCCCGGAGCCTTCTTAACTGAATGTTAGGCCTACCTTTAGATCAGCCAATCATGTTAAAGTCAGAATCACGTATATGAGAAATAGTACAGCTCCTTATCAAAAAGTCAATATTAGCTTTTGGAAAAAATACATAACAAGTGCTTTACATTTTATAAAAATAATTTCACATGCATCTTATTACCGATTCCAATAACACTTCCTGGAGTACACACAATTATTAGTCACAATTCACAGAAAAAGAAATACTGGTTCACAAATGACATAACTCAATTCCCCTGGAATTGAGGGGCCTCGAATCCTTGTCTCTAACTTTAAAATCCCATAATTTTTCCACTCTACTCGAAGCCACTGAAAAAGAGAAATAAGATGGAGGGGAAAAGGGCACAAAAACAAAGGTATAAATAAGAGTTTCTTTAGTCAGTGGTACAAAGTTTTAGTTCTACAATATGAATATAAAAATGTCATGCATTAAATATATAAAGAACTCAATGTACCTCTCACTCTATCATGACTTAAAAATAACATGCTAGAGATAGTCAACACTACTAAAAAAATGCAATGAACTTTTTTTCTTTATTACTTACAAGGACATTTTGAGATGTCTGCAATAGGCCAAGACTCTTTTTAAAAGGCTATTCAGGTAAGTCCGTGCTGACTTTCTTTTGATACATTTCCCCATAAAAGTCAGAAGGAGGCAAAATCACTCTGCTGGCTTTAGAGTGAGGGCCTCAGAGCCCTATAAAAAGTGCTCAGTGCTCTTGTTTGTTGATGATGGTACCTCTGAAGACGAGGGGGTGGTTTCTCCACTGTAGTATGGGTTAACTCACTCCATCATATTTTCCTTCTTTGGTCATCCCAGGTTATGAAAACATACAGCATTTAAAGCTACTTTGACTAATTAAAGATCAGAGGACATAAAAGATTACTATGTCATGCTAAAGGACATTTACTTATAGCTATTATATCATCTTTGTAAGAAAAAAATAAACAATTACAAATAATTAACCCAAATCAGAAAAAGAAATGAAAAATCTGAGTGGAGCCTGCTCTTTCTGTTCTTGGTTACTGGTGGTTGTAGGAATGACCTAACACCACAAGAGCCCTTTTCCTCTTACTTGCTGGTCCTCTATTTACATAGTCCAGAAATGCAGATTATTAGAAAACAGACTTCTGGCTTACATGAGTAAGTGTGCTGTACCATCCAAATCCGCCCTCAAGAATGGAGGATTCATCCGCCCACACGCTCCTCAGGTTTCAGCCGTTTTTAAAGACAGCCTCACTGAGAGGCACCTGGCCAGCCCAGCGGAAAGAGCATGGGACTTGTGATCTTGGGGTCATGAGTTCAAGCCCCACGTGGAGCGGAGAGATTACTTAAATATATACATACATACATACATACATACATACATACTTTAAAGATAGCCTCATCTAAAGAAAGAACCTTGCCCAAAATCACACACATCCTTCCATGAGCAGCCTGCATGTTAGGGCGCAGGGTATGTTTCAGGACAACGCTGGTGGACATGCTCCCATGAAGGTGGCTGAGATCTTCATTGGAACTGTGCTGAGGCTCGAGATCCCCCTCTGCCTAATCCTGCTTTTTCCCAGTCCCCCTCCTGCCCCCGGTGTTGATGCCAAGAGCAACATCACATAAAAAGTATCCTGCATGTTAATCTTCATCTCAGAATTTGCTTTCTGGGCAAACCCAGTCTGGGACAGATGTGACAGAATTCAACTCTCTACTCTTCCTCCTGAAATAGAAATACAATAGACTCACAACTTTATTTTGATACTACCTAGACACTCATCTTCCTCCTAATTAGAGCAAATCGGGTTTTGTGCAGTTAAAATATACATAACATAAAGTTCATCATTTTTAAGTGCTGAATTCAGTGGCACTGGTACATATGCACTATTGCGCAACATCGCCACGGTCCATCCCTGGACCATTTTTATCATCCCAAATTGAAACTCTCTAAAAACAATTAGTTATAAGCAAAATTACATAGTGACTTTTAACACCATGAAATCCTTAGGGAAGTGAGACTAAGGTTCATTTTCTTCAAGAGTCAAAATCAATGTACTCAGTTCTATGTTCCAACTAGGACCAAGAAGATTTCATGAAAAACTGACATCGCACTAAATGAGAGGAAAAGAAGTCCTAGCAGATACCAACCAATACACCTTAAACAGATACTGGATCACTTTTTCCAGCCCTTTTTGATACAAGTGTTTGATACAAGCCCTTATTTACTAAAACAGAGCTCATTCTGACCAAAAAACAATGGTCCATGTCATCCAACAGAACTTTCTTCAGTGACAGGAACATCCTGTATCCACACTGTCAAATACAGGAGACAACAGCCACATACAGTTACTGAGTATTGGAAGTGTGGCCAGTGCAATGGAGGGATTCCATTTTTCATTTTATTTAACTTAATTCTTATTTAAATTGGCCACATACAACTAGTAGATACCATATTGGACAGGGCAGCTCTAGACCCTCATATAAGAAAAATGAGAATTCCATATCTAAAACAATCAAATCAGATTCCCAAGATTGCATTTTAGTATACAAACTAAGCTTCTAAAATAGTATATGGATTTCAGCTTATAAGCAGAGATATTCAATCTTCGGAAAAATTCAAACATTTTGAAAACTACAAAGGACCACAGAAATCATGAAGTCCAACAGTCGTATTTTGTAGATAAAGAAGCCAAGCCACAGGTTAGCTATATTCCCAAGGATGTGCAGCCAATCATTTAGTCGGAGGTGACAACCCATCAGCCTAATTCCCAGGTAGATGTTCATTCTAGTCTTTTGCCCAGTTAAAATCTCACCTATAATGTGGAATCTAAAAGAACCAAGTACACAGGAGCAGAAAGAGTAAGAAAGGTGGTTTCCAGGAATGCAGAGGAGGGGAAAATGGAAAGATGTCGGTCAAAAGGTATAAAATTGCAGTTGTAAGATGAATTAAGTCTAGAGATCTAATGTACAGTTTACAATATCATACTGAATACTGGAAATTCACGAAGACAGCAGATTACAGATACTTCTCATTAGACACAAAAAAAATGGTAACTCTGTGAGGAGATGATTGTGAATTAGTTTGTTGAAATCATTTCATATAGGTGTGTGTGTATCAAATCATTGTATCACATAATTTGAGTATTATGTAATTTTATTTTAAAAATTAAATTAAGTTAAATTAATAAGTAAAAATAAAAAGGTACCTAAGATATCTTATTATACAGTCACAGACTATGTATGGATTCTTTTGATTGTTCAACAGGTCACATGAGAACGCTGTAAGCTTTCTTTACCACCATAAATCTAGCTCAAGTGACTAAAACTAGCAAAATACCAAGTAAATGTTTGTTGTTAGAATGAATGAATTCTGTAACAGTTTAAACAGTCTTTCCTTGCAGTCTCCCTTGGTCTTGTATGTAAAAGAAACTAAGCAGTACATTAAGCCTGCTGGACTAGTAATTTCTCCAGAGCACAATTAGCTTACCAGAAAGGGCCATGGTGAGCAAACATGACCCACACACAGTCATGACCATCTGAAAAAGATGAGGCACATCTCATTAACCTCCAGATACAATACTTAAACAATTTCTACCAAGAAATATGAATCGTGGCTCAGTCAACACACAGTTTGTACATTTTACTCCACTAAAATAATGGTGGGGAAATGGCCAACTTCTATTAACTTTTACCCATAAAAGGGCTAAGCAAAGAGTGTGCTTATGTTCCTATCGAGTAGTATGAATAAAAAAGAAAAAAAAAAAGTCCCTGAAAAGGCAGCTCTCTATGTTACTACTGAGCGTGTTATTGGTGCAACCTTTCCAGAAACCAATTCAGCACTACCAAGAGATTTAAAACTGTTCATACCCTTTGACAAGGTAATTACCCTTCTAGGAATTTATCACAAGGAAATAATGTAAATGAAGACAGAAGTTAAATACAAAGAAGTTTCATTACAATATGATTTATAATACAGAAAAATTAGAAACAACATAAACATCCCCCCAACAAGGGAGTGATTAAGTAAATTATAGAACTATACAATAAAATATTATGCAGTCATAAACTATAACGGTTTTGAAGAGTTTTAATGATATAACCATATACTTATAAAGTGATAAATAAGATATAAAATTGTATGTATGACATGATCTTAACTATGCAAATATATTATCTATCTATAAATACACGCATACTATCTTTAGGAACTAAACAAGATTTAATACGTATAACACCCGGTCCTTATTTTCTATTTTGGATTTTTATATTTCTAAACTTTCTAAACAGACATCTATTACATTTTTAATTAAACGTTCTTATTTTGAGAGGCGCCTGGGTGGCTCAGGTGGCTAAGCATCTGCCTTCCGCTCAGGTCATGAACCCGGGACACTGGGATAGGGCCCCATATCAGGTTCCCTGCTCGGTGGGGAGCCTGCTTCTCTTCCTTCTGCCTGCCACTCCCCCTGCTTGTGCTCTCTCTCTCTTAAATAAATAAAATCTTAAGAAAACAAAATCTTGGGACGCCTGGGTGGCTCAGTTGGTTAAGCGGCTGCCTTCGGCTCAGGTCATGGTCCCAGCATCCTGGGATCGAGTCCCACATCGGGCTCCTTGCTTGGCGGGGAGCCTGCTTCTCCCTCTGCCTCTGCTCGTGCTCTCTCTCTCTCTCTCTCTCTCTAACAAATAAATAAATAAAATCTTAAAAAAAAAAAAAAGAAAACAAAATCTTTTAAAAAAAATAAACTTTCTTATTCTGAAAGAGTTGAGTTATTATTATAACTCAACTGTTGAGTTGGGCTCTAGCCATCTTAAACGCCTGTGTTAAACCCATTTATTTCAAGAAGAAATGCCAGGATAAATATAACATGGCCATAGACAGTTCAATTAATTACATTCAGTGACCAGCTAAGCAATTATTTTTTGTAACAATGCAGGTGGACTGCTTGGGATGTAAGAACTTCTCTGCCTTTCCAATTTCCTCTCCCTAGGTATAAATCAACTGTCACAGTCACAATGCCAATCACTAAGATATTCAGATTTTCTGGGAAATTGATGCCAGATCCTATACCAAACAAATGCTTTTCAATTATACACATTAATGAAGTCTTTACTACATGTTAAAGGTAAAATGTTACATTATATTGTAGTAAAAAAAATATTTCTAAGGAAAATTTTCACTAAAACTTAGTTCAAACTAAGCTAATATCTATGCTTCACATGAAGGTCATTGTATGGGGCAGTCAGAGGATCTCAGAAAAGCATGGCAGTATTACTGTCCTCGTGGTAATCATCAGCCTCTATCCAGCCATCTGATGATGGGCCAGCCCTGACACATGGAAGTTAAAAAGGCTCGTTCCAGTCTCCTATCTCTCTAACGTGGGTTTCTGTCCTAGTGGGCTCTCCTCAATTGAGTTCCCCCTAGCTTGCTGTCATCACTCCCTGCTCCAAGGCCAGGAATCGACTGGTGACCTACTCTTCAACAGAGCGCTCATGAGGTTTTTCACCTGCTGTGATGCGTGTTTTCCAACAGCACCAAGCACTTCTCCAATTCTCTGCAGACATCAGCTGGGTATCCTACAATTTACTGAATTCCAACACTACCTACTGGGAGACAGAAGTGAGTAGCACAGGTTAAGAGTTCAGCACCCCGCCATGCTTTAAATGCCAATCACTAGTCCAGGTGATGACCAGTCATATATCAGAGATTTATTTAATTTGCTAGAGCAGAAATCAGGAAAATAGTTTACTTCCTATACTACTGGCTTTTTATAAAAACATGTAACTCAGAAACTGCCAGATAGAAGAGATGCCAAGGGCAAGGTTTGCGGGAAGGAGGCTGGAGCTTCCATGCCCCCTGGACACACTACCCTCCACATGATCAGCAACCCTGAATCTCTCTCAACTACATCCTTTGGGGTTTTTATGAAGGATTCGTTCCACAGGCCTGACTGGTTAAATCAACTGTTATGGTGGCTGAGGTCAATCTCTAGTCCCCCTCCCCTTCCTCAAAGGTCTAGTTAGTTCCCTTGACAATCAATCCCCATTCTCAGGTTACCTAGGGGCTTGCTGAAAATCACTTTATTCAGATAAACTGAGCTGTGCTAGAAAAGGGTTTGTTACATGACTAACAAAAGACACCCACTTCACTTTATGGCCCTGGAGCTTTTTCTGATACTGGGAACAATACTAAATACTATAACAAAAGATGCTGCTATGGGTTAAAATTACAACTAGAAATTACAAGGGTTTGGAGCTTTGTGCAGGGAATATGGACTAACCCAAATCTGTATTTCTTATTATCAACCGCATTAGCACATCTTCATTCACGGTGTCACCCTCATCACTACTCTCCTCACGCTGGTCTGAATTCCAGCAACTTCCTCACCATTCAAGGGACGTATAGGAGGTACAACATTATCAAATTCAGCATTTATTCAATTTATTGCTCTTCTGGGTGATCAAGTTCTGGCATAAGAAAGTGTGACATAACCTTTGCATTACCACCATGGTTTCCTTCAGTGTCTTCTCTGCAGGTTCAGTTTCAAACATCGTTGTAATCCCAAGTCAGGAAGGACCAGGCATTTGTGGTGTTGATGTACTGACCTCATTGCAAGCATTAGCAAGTGTGTAAACAGCACTTTTAAGGCTGAGTTCTTGTACTGTAGTTCTTTTGCTGAAAGCTAAGGAAACTGAGGAATCTGTTAACTACAGCAAGCATGCAGTTTTGCTCTATTTTTTTTTCCATGTTTAATAACAGGAAACTCACTACAACAAAATCAGGAGGTAGGGAGCCCTACCACTCTTCATGAATTACAGACAGAATGAGAGACTTGACCTTGCATATGGAAGGAAGGAAGCTGAAGGAAGAGACCCTTTCCTCATCCCCAAGGCAACAGCTCAGCCAACGAGAAGCCACCATACTTAGAACTTTGAGTTTACTCTTAAATGGACTTTCCCTTCATAACTGCCTTCCCAACTTACTCCTTTTCTCCTTGAAAAAGCCTGCTTCTCATTCGTTCCCCAGACCTGCCTGCGGTCTGGGCGCAGCTTGTTGGTACTGGAAATGCAATTCTCTTTTACATCCAAGCAAACCCATCTTTTGCTGGAAAAATAACTGGCAGTTTTTACCTTTAAGGTTATTAAGGGCATAAAATTCTTTGGTCACCAGGCTCTATTACAGATGTCCCATTGTTGGGTTAGGCAAAAGTAACGTCAAAAACATTACTTAGCATAATAAGTTGAAAAGTAAGGCTGTGTGAACAGTTAACTAGGAACAACAGAATTTCACTTTTCTGCCAGTCCAGCTTATCATGAGTGAGCTTGTACCCCTGATGTAAGTAGAAATAAACTGTTCAGAAAATACTTCTCTAGTTACCTCTGCTGTCTTATAAATAATCATTCCTAAGTAAAATGCATATTCCTAAGTAAATGCAAATTCCTAAGTAAAATGCATATATACTAGTCCCCCCTTACTCATCCTGTTTTTTCCTACGCATACACACCTGTGATAAAGTTTACCTTATAAATGAGGCCCAGTAAGAGATGAACAAAAGTAATAAAATAGAACAATTATAACAATATGCTCCCATAAAAGTTATGTGTGTGTGGCCTCTCTGTCTCTCCAAATTGTTATAGAACCCAAGAACACAGTTGAAACATGGTCAAACAAGACAAAGGTCTGACAAATTAAACTGCACACACCCAGGTGCTGGTCACTCTAGCCAGAGTTCTTTCCTCCTGGGAGTGAGACTATCATGAAAAAGGCCACATGCAAAAGGCCATCATCAGAGACAAAGCCGCATATCTACATAGCTCTACCTTGCAGAATAACTGGGAAGGTTATTCCAGCAAGGGTTCTGCACAAGACACAGAGAATAAGAAAACCAAGAGTCCAGCTTGGATGTGCAGAAGAGCAGAAGATACAGTTTCTTTTTTTTTTTTTTTAATTGTTTTAAGTCTTTTTTTTTTTAGAAGATACAGTTTCTACAAATTCTGGAAATAACTGGGAAACTTGAAAATGTATCTCCTGCTGGCTGAGTTGAAGTCAATATAAATAACCTGGATGTTTAAAATAGAAATATTCACAGTTTTCATGCCAAATGAACCGAGTAGCAATTATCTGTGGACAAGTACATCTCTCCCACTGGAAAATAACCAATACAGGCTCAAACGGACACTGTATTTGAAATCATTAATCTCCAATAAAATGAAATGCCTGGGAGAACATTTTAACACACAGTTGTACTGAAAGCGTCCCATACTTGCTCCTTGATTTTTGTCCATTTAGACACAATTATTATTTTGCAGAGCATCTGCTGTGCCTAATTCCTGGAAATGACTGTAGGCACTGATAACAACGTTGCTTTTCTACCTTGGGCACTTTAACAGCACTGAAGAGAATGAAGTGAATAATCCCTTTTCTCCAAGGAGTCACCAAGATGTGTTTTTCTGATGGATTCTGGAGCATGGAAGTGACAAAAGGGAGGCCTCCAAGGCAGGAGGCTGTCATGCCAGCATACAAGA